AAAGAATTAAACATTCATCCTACCCTTCCTGTGTGTACCAGACCTCAGCATAACCTCATAGTTGAAGAGGGTAAGTTTCTTTATAGAAGAATCCCAGCTAATAAATGCAGAAGAAAGTATAGAATTAAAACATCACCCTTCTGCAACCTTTAATGAAACACAGATCTAGGCAATGATCTTCAGAGGCTGCAAAAAATGAAGTGAAAAGCAGATGGGAAATTAGAAAATGGATGGATCAGGCTGACAACACTTGAACCGAGTGATCAATTGCAATGACACAGAAGAAGAGACAACCAGACATAATGAGTCTTCTGGTATAATACTACAGGAAGTACACCACACCACATCTGAGGTACTCTTGCCAAAGAACCTGAATCTGACCAAGCCTCTAAATCTACTTACCAATTTAAAAGAAATAGGAGGGGCCAGTGAAACATAATAAACAACATAATAGGGATACAATCAGCAAAATCCAGAATGCAAATTCCACAAGACAAAAGACATAGTTTCTTAAGCAAATAAATTGGAAGGTTAAAAAAAAAGAGGGGAGACATTCTTCAGATTAAAAGAGAGAATGTTTCAGAGAACTTAAAATTAAAACCACATGAGATACCACCACACATCCACTACAAGAACAAAAATGAAAAAGGTGGAAAATACCAAGTGTTGGTGAAGATGTGGAGCAAGTAGAACTTCATACATCACTGGGAGGAATATAGATTGGCGTAACTACTTTGAAAAAATTATTGGCAGTATCCACTGAGCTGAACATACACATACCTTATGACTCAAAAATGCTACTATTAGGTACATGACCAAGAAATGAAAAAAAAGTCCATTCAAGAATGTTCATAGCCCCATTATTCAGTAAAAAGTCAAAAACTGGAAAATATCCAAATTTCCATAACAGATAAAGATATTGTGAAATATCCACACAATGCCTTCTGTTTTCATAATTATTCCCTTTTTTCTTAAACTCTAGTACATGACAGAATGGCTACTGAAGCATAATTTCCACACAAAGAGAAAAGACCTCAGCCTAACATCAACCACCCTAGGTTGAGATAGTTCAAAACATGTCTTTTTCTTCTTCCTAAGTGTCCTGATTAGAGAGTGGGCTCTGGAGACAGTTTGTAGTTCTGCCACTTACAAACTGTGTGAGTTTGAATACTTGTACTTCACCTTACAGTCATTCAATTGCCTCATCTGCCAAACCAAGATTATATAGTATTGACTGTAGAAGAAAAAAGTTTTTAATATTGCCTTGTGTTTTGTCTTTTACAAGAATAAATGGTCAAGAATCACATTATTTCAAAATTTCAAATGCAGAGATGTTGGAATACCCGTATACTTTGAGTGACCCTGAGTGAATGAAAGTCTCTCAATCTCTCAGTTTCTTGTTCTGTAAAATGACAAAAACAATCATCCCTACATCATGGGTTGTTGGTTTGAGAATTAATTGAATTAATACATAAAAACTCTTAGAACAGTGCTAGACATACAGTAACAATTCAGTTACTAGATGTTTTTAAGAACTACTTACAAGTTAAGATTTTTATCATTTTGATAGGTTGAGTTTGCATGTGTCTTTAATAAAGCTTAATGATCTAACAACTGAATCCTATTCATCAACTGATACATATTTTACATCACTAACTTTCACCATAACTACTGTTGGATGACCTAACTAATTTTCTTGAGAATCTCTTGAAAGCACTTGGAACAACTGGTCTCAGAAAATAGCACCGCCCTTTCTCCACATGACCAAACAATAAGATGAAGGGTCATCCAGGATCCTGCCTTATCCTCACAAACCGCTCCCACACAGCCACTGCAGGTCCTGCCTGCCCCACCTCCTACATGCCCTGTCCAGGGCCATCCCGTCCTCTGCACACTGCTGCAGCACTGAGCTAATCCACCCTTGTCCCTCTCCCAGACTTCTGCAAGATCCCCCTAATGGTTATCCCCACAGCTCTCCTGTCCCTCTCCAGTCCATGCTCCACAGTGGCCAGAGTCACCTTGTGAGCACATGAATCAGAGCATGTCACTCCCATACTCTAATCCTCCATCCTCAGAATAAACTCCAAACTCCTTACATGGCCCAAAGTTTGTAGCTTCATCTCCTACCATCTGCACTTTGTCTGCCAGGCTCCAGCCACTCGAGCTTGTCATCAGCTCCTAAAGGTCTGTCCAGGCCTGGCTTCTGTCATCTGGACTCAGCTCAAATGTCACCCCCTGAGAAAGAGCTTCACTGACAACCCCATTGTTCCACCACATGCCCAGCTGGGTGAGTAGTACAGGATAGGTTCCCAAGAGACCAAAGAAAAGACCCAGAGACAGTGAACAAGACATATGGGTTCACTAGGGAGTTACTTACAGGGACGATCCAGTGGCGGCCGGCTGGACAGAAACAGACAATGCTACCGTCCCCTGAGGAAAGCTTACTTAAGTAGGCAAAGGAACAAAGGTTGCATGCTTGCCAAGGGGGACTGTCCCTGTCTGACCTGCATTCCAAGGACCAGAGCCGCCCCAGAGGGCCTTCTGTTTCCTCAGACCACAAGGGTCTCTGTGCTAACTCTCCCATGAGAAAACAGCCGGGTTGGCCAAGCCTGGGACTATTGTCATCATGAGTGCTGGTGCATAGCCCAGACAAGGAGCCTCAAGGATACATAGTTTAAAGGGCACGTAGGCTAGTGCCCCTACACCCATCTATAATAATTTTTGTCTCGGTCATTTTCTATTCTATTTGTGTTTATTTTCTTCAAAGCACAAATCTCCATGTGAAATTGCCCTGTTTATTGATTTACCAGCTTATCGCCAATTTTCCCAAATAGAATGAAAGTTCCAGGGACCCTGCCTGTCTTTTTTTCTGTGGTGTGTCCCGAAGGCCTAGTTCAGTGCCTCACATATAAATCATTGAATAAATATTACTTAAATGAAGGAATTTGACACACAGAAGCAGACACAGATATTTAAAGCTGAGCATCAGGACCAACTGACCACAAAATTAGACACAAAAGACTCAAAATTTTAAGAAGATATTGTTGCAAATCTATAACAGTACTTTTCAAACTTGGACAAATACCATAATCAACTGAAGAAATTATTCAAAATGTAGACACCTCCCACTCCATCTCCCTGGATTTGATTAGGCAGACCTAAGGTGGGCCCAGGTATATGAAATTTAAACAAAAACCACCTGACGACTTTGATGAAGTGGTCCATGGACCACACTTGGAAAAATTATGACCTAAACAGCTGACGTTTATGTACTATTAATTTGATGCCTACCATGCAGAGTTCTACAATATCTGGGATGTCTCAGTTAATGTAATTACTCAAAAGTGTACTGGTCCTTCCCTCCCACCCATGACCACAGATTGCTTTCCCACATGGAAACAGACTTAAACTCCACAATATTCCTGGATGGTCAGGAGCATTGGGGACTGTTATCCTGTTCTAGAGAAGACGCTGGAGGAAACAGGAGTGACTTACCTAAAGTGTCCCATTGATGGGACCGTGATCTCTTCACTCTTGCTCCAGGAACCTGTCTAGCAGATTCAATATCACACTTGGTTCTTCTGTATCAGCTCCTGTTTCTGAGGCTCAGAGTCCACACCCTTCTCTGACGGTCCACTAGAAGGAGAATCGGGGGATAAGACGGCTAGAGGAAAGTGAGAGAATGGGAAAACACATGAACACAGGGGAAAGGGGTCAGGATGTCCTTGCTTGTCCCTACTCAGTCCACTGAAAGCTGTACAATGACTCTTTGCCTCTTCCCCAGCTCCACCACACAGCCCCTCCTGCACATGCAGTGACAGTGAAGCTTATACATCATGGAAATAGGAGCTTATCACTGCTTGTTGTTACATGTCCAAGTATTCTCTCAGGTATTCAAGCTATTATGTTAATGCCACAGTATACACAAACAGAAGGAAGGAGGTAAAGTTAGAACAGAGAAATAAAATTTCATGTGGGCTTACTAGATGCCACACACTGTAGGTGGTTATTTTCAGACTTTTTCTCTTCAAATTCTTAAAGAAATTCTCTGAAGTGGCCATCATTACCTCCTTTTTACAGATGGGGAGATAGGCAGGCTCTGAGAGCAAAGTACATACTCAAAGAATTCTAGGGAGGTGTCAAATGGACACAGAAGCCAACTTGAAGGAGCTAATACTGGCCTATTCTGAGTCAATTTGAGTATCAAAATACATAATGATAGTAATAGAAGGTAACTCTTTGAGCAAAGTAGGAATCTATGAGTCATACTGATATAAATAAATACATGAATAAATACATAAATAAGGGAAAGGGGAAAGCACTACCCTATAGTCAAATGCCAACTAATAAATCTGCAAGGAATGAGGGAATTAGAAAAGCAACTGTTGACCACTATCATAGTAACAAATGACTCAGGCAAGAATCATAAATGGATGACCATTCTGCACGAAATCCCACATCAGTCGCTAAGCCACCATGGTAACCAAGCTGGTCAAGACAAGCTGGGAAAAGGAAACAATAACCCTGACGTGGTTCCTAATATGTGCTAGGAACTGAATAAGACAGACATGCACACATACACACATGCTCCCTCTCGCTTTCATGCTGGCTCTCTGTCACCACCCAAGACCTTGTCTTATCCTCCCGCGCCCCTGCCTTTAGAAGGAAAGTATCTCCAGGACACCCTTGGGGCAAGACGCCACACTCACTGGAAAGGGGCGGGAACCGAATGGCTTTACCTAGCAGACAGCCAAGGCACCGAATCCTAAAGCAGGAAAGAGGCGACTTGGATCTGGGTCCCTTTGTCTCCCTACACCCCGAGGAGGCTCAGCCCCCACCGCGGGTACCCACACCCTCAGCTGAGTCCCAAACACCTAAGGACGAGACCTGCTCTTTTCTCCAGGCTACATGTGTCTCTATAGAAATGTCGTCACGGTCGCCATATTGACGTCAGGTTTCTATGGCAACCGCGAAGCGCAGACTTGTTCACCCCACCGGAAATACCACTACACACTCCTCCACCCCCTGGCGTTTCTCCTGAAAGCAAAACACCTTCGCGGTTCAGGCCACCACGTAAGAAAGCATACTAAGTAGAAGACCTCAACTGGGGCCTGGGAAACTGGAGGAACTCTGCCCAGTTTGGTGGAACAAGGCATGTCCCTGCGGTGAGGATTTTTTTTTTCTTTATAAAGAGACAGTAGGGGGTGTTGTCAGTACCAGAGAGGTATCCTAGGGTTCTTGCAGATAAGCTAGCCTAGGAGGATGAACTCGTAAAATCACACTCCTGCTAAGCAGTTAGCCATCTGTGGCAGAAAACTGAGGCTGCCTATAATCACATGACTAAATGATCTAGGAACACTAAAAGATGGTTTGATGATCTTCCCTTACTACAAATCCCTCAGAAAAGTCATTTTCCAAAACAGAAATGTCCCCAAAACTTCATTCATTATGTAAATGTATGTACATTCTACTTCTTGATGCTGCATTTCCAGGTGGTCTCTAAGGAAATTATGCCGTTTGGTTTAGGTCAAAGTCATTTCTTCTCTGGGAGAGAGGAGAAAGGTGAACCAAACTAACATTAGCTGAAGTCTTACTACATGCCACATATTTTGTACAGGATTTCTCATTTACCCCTTACAACAGTTCTGTAAGGAAGGCATCATGGGTCCCCTTTACAGATGACCAAAGGCAGGCTAACAGAGGCTGAGCAAGTATTCCAGCATCATGCATGAAGTTAGGGGCAAAAATGGGATTCCAGTTCTTGCTCTCATCACATTATACTATGCATTCTTAACAGAAACATTATCACCCCCAAGGAACTGAAAATTGATTCTTAAGGGTGAAGAAACCTTAGCTAGTACTATGATTTGTAGCTCTCAGAAAGGTTAAAGTACATAAACAGATATACGCCGCATCTCTAGTATTAAACATTTCATATTCTGTGGATGGGGCAATGATTAGGAAAAAAGGTGTAAAAAGCCTCCCTAGGGGCTGGCGCGGTGGTGCAGCGGTTATGTTCGCACGTTCCACTTCTCGGCGGCCCGGCGTTCGCCGGTTCGGATCCCGGGTACGGACATGGCACCGCTTGGCACACCATGCCGTGGTAGGCGTCCCACATATAAAGTAGAGGAAGATGGGCACGATGTTAGCTCAGGGCCACGCTTCCTCAGCAAAAAGAGGAGGACTGGCAGTAGTTAGCTCAGGGCTAATCTTCCTCAAAAAAAAAAATAAATAAATAAAAAGCCTCCCTAAAGTAGACAATAAGAAAAGAAAGTCGAGAAACATTGCATCTACCCAGTGATATAATACATAGATGATGGACCACCAGGGCTTTATGGACTGGTCGTTTTACACTCCCTCATGGATGCTCACTCCTCAACAACCAATCTTGGTGATGATGATGATGAAATTCTGTCCCTGGGGCCAAGAGAACTAGATATGAAGACCATGCAAAGTGACTGGTTTATAGTACGGCAGAGAGGGGCTCAGTCAGACGAGTAGGTGTTTCCTCTGGAAAAGATGATCTGGAGAGTAGGATATTAAAGTTTTAAAACTAATGTAAGCAAGTAATACTCTAAATTGTATCTCTTTAGTGTTAACATTTATTCCAGTTACATGTTATTTAATCCATAATTCAGATCAGACTATAGTGAGTTAGGAGATGGTTAAGTAAATGAGGGAAACCTCTTTGCAAATACCTACTCAGTAGTTAAAACTGGAATTACTCTACAGCTTTTTCCATTGTGTCCTGAAGCTGCCAGGGCTCTGAATGCTCTAATTTCCTTGGGAAATTGATGCTGTCAGTAATACTGCTTAAGAATTTTTATAGTGAATTGTATTACTTTTAAATTATTATAGTATTATAATTAAAAACATTGTGTATGGCAAAAGAAAAGTCAACAAAGCTTATCCTAAAAGGCTAGAGTAAATATTTTCAAATTACGTTGGGCTAATTCTCGTGATATGTATAACAGATGCACAAATGATGTGGTAGGCAGCCTCCAAAAAGACTCTCCATTATCCACACCTCCAAGTATTCATGCCCTTTTGTAATCACTTATCTTGAATGTGAGCTAGGGTTAGTTGCTTCTAGTGAATATAACACCTGTGAAGTGATGGGATATCACTTCTGAGACTAGTTACAAAGAGACTGTGGGTTTGTTTTAGGTTGCCACTCATACTGACCCTGAGGAAAGCCAGCCACCATGCTGTGCGTTGCCCACATGTCAAAGAACCAATGTCTCTGGCCAAAAACCAGTGAGGTCCCAAGGCATGGCACTGGACATAAATGTGAGCTTAGAAGTGGTTCTTCACCCAATTGACCCTTAAGATGACTGTAGCCCCAGCGTATAATTTAATTGCATCCTTGTAAGAGACTCGGGGTCAGAGGCACCCAGCTAAGCCACATTCAGGTTCCTGACCCACGAAAGTGATGAGTTAATACATATTACTTTAAGCTGCTTTTATTTTGGAGTATGTTGTTGTGCATCAGTAGATAAACAACACATATATAATCAGAGAATTCATGTGAAGAGCAATATACACGTTCAAAAAACATTTTAAAACAACATATCTAATGAAATGCAAATGAAAACCTGGAGATACACTATTTTACACTGAAAAAAGGCAAGTTTCAGAACAACAGGGATAATGTGATTCTAATATTGAAAAAAGATATGTGTATTTTGTGTATCTGTGGCTATATAATAACTCACCTACAGAGAAACACATCTAGCAAAACATGCAGCAGCATATTGATAGTGGACATCTTTGGTTCAGATGGTGGAAATCAGGCAGGAGTGAGATTCAGGGTGATTTCCTTTTATAAATGTTATGTATTACATATTATATATTTATAAGTGTAAATATGTAAATTTATACATAATATATAAATAAATGTATAAATTTAATATATAAAATATAGTTCTGTATTGCTTGAAATGTTATAAACCAGACATTGAATGGAGATAATTCAAAAACAAATTATATTAAAAGACATTAAGAAATAATTTACTAATGATTTTGTTCTTGTGGAAATATATACAAAGAACACTATTTTATAGGGAAAAGAAGCCTATTAAAATGTTTGGCAATGGATCTGTACATTTGAGTGTACATCAGTGTGTGTTTCTGTTGCTGAAACTTAATATTATCTGGGTGATTCTATGTCTCAAACTCTATTGCCCTAAATATCCGTGGGCTCTGTAGCTATGCTGACTGAAGTCAAATCTACAGTGTGTCACTTTCTAAGTATACAAGCTTAGGCAAAGAATTTAGCCTCCCTGCCCCTCATTTTCTTCATCTGTAAAATGATCACCCTCACGGTGTAGTTATAAGAATTAAATGTGGTTATCTGACCCAAAGCAAATGTTAGCTAATTTTAATACTTTCATTTTTAATGGACGTTAGTATTGTTTTTTTTTTTAAGATGGGCTCTGAGTTAGCATCTGTTGCCAATCTTTTTTTTTCTTCTCCCCAAAGCCCCCCAGTACATAGCTGTATATTCTAGTTGTAAGTCCTTCTAGTTCTGCTATGTGGGATGCCACTTCAGCATGGCTTGATGAGTGGTGCTAGATCCATGCCCAGGATCTGAACCAGCGAAACTCTGGGCACGAAGTTAACCACTCAGCCACAGGGCTAGCCCCTGGGCATTAGTATTATTGCAAGCCCTAAAACCTATGATGTAAATGACTGTTTATTGCCATTGAATGACATTCAATATATACTACTAGTAAGTAAAAGTAAGCTACACTATTATAAGGAGGAGAATACCTTATTTATTTTATTTTATTGAGGTCATAACGGTTTATAACATTGTGAAATTTCAGTTGTATGGTATTACTTGTCAGTAATCTTATATATGTGCCCCTTTACCCCTTATACTCACTCCCCAAATCCCCTCCCCTCTGGTAACTGCTAATCTGTTCTCTTTGTCTATGTGTTTTTTTTATTTTCCACATATAAGTGAAATCCTATGTGTTTGTCTTTCTCTGTCTGGATTATTTCCTTTAACATAATAATTTCAAGGTCCATCCACGTTGTTGCAAATGGGATGATTTTGTCTTTTTTATGGCTAAGTAGTATGCCATTTTGTGTGTGTGTGTATGTATATATATATATATATATATATATATATATATATATATCACATCTTCTTTATCCATTCATCAGTTTATGGGTTCTTGGTTTGCTTCTACGTCTTGGCTATTGTGAATAATGTTGCAGTGAACATAGGGGTGCATAAGTCTCTTTAAATTGTTGATTTCAAGTTCTTTGTATAAATACCCAGTAGTGGGATAGCTGGGTCATATGGTATTTCTGTGTTTAATTTTTTGAGAAATCTCCATACTTTTTCCATAGTGGCTGCACCAGTTTGCATTCTCACCAGCAGTGTATGAGGGTTCCCTTTGCTCCACAGCCTCTCCAACATTTGTTGTTTTTTATCTTGAGAATGCCTTATTTTTTTTAAATAAATATCATGAATGCACTTGCAGAAGCAAAGCAATAGAAATGGTAAATGACTGAGTAAATATAATAGACTTTTCATCTCCTCTTGAGTTCATTAAAAAATTTTAACTGTTAAAAGCAAAAAAATATAATATTTTTTCATGATGTTTCAGTGAATGTAAATAATATACATAAGAGAACTATAACATTAAGAGGGAAGTTAAGCAGATGTATAAGACAGCAAGGTTTCTACATGTCATTTGAAGTGGTAAATACTGATTTTATATAAACTGCAAAAATTCAAATAGGTAGTTTTAGAGAAAACCACTAAAAATGTTATACAAAGAGATATAGTCAAGTCAAAATAGAAAAATTAAAATGAAGTATCAAGTAATGTTCACATAAGCCAAAAGAAGGCAAGAAAGGGGAAACAGAGGAATGAAAATGAGGACAAACAGAAAATGAATAATAAAATGACAGAAATTCAAATATTTTGACAATTAGTTTTAATGTAAATAGTCTAAACACACAAGTTGAATGACAGAGACTGTCTAGATGTATCAATTTTAGAGAAAGGGGTTTTGAAGTCTGAATAAATTGTGTATTTTTTACTTCAGTTCTATCTGAAATATAGATATATGTTTATAAATCTATAGTTTTCAGCTCTGTTGTTTGATGCATACACACTTAGGATTGCTATATCCTCTTGGTGGATTGA